AGTAAGCTGAGATTGGGACATTTTGACTTTATGACGTGTAGTCCATATAAATGCATGATGAAATGCACGAAATTGTATGCATGCCATCATAAATTTGTATGGACTACACGTCATAAAGTCAAAATGTCCCAATCTCAGCTTACTGAGTTTCTATGCTCAGCATATATCCTCAGCTATCTGTCATTGACTGTATTTTGCTTAGAATTTAATCTATTTGGTTAGAATTTTTTTCATTTTGTGCATTTTTTGTAGTTGTACACAATTTGAACCATACATAGTTTGAAGTTGTATGTTAGTTCGTAGGTGTCCAAAAGTTGATTCCAGAAAACAGAATTGGCTGGATTTGCTTAGGTTTCATGGCATTTTTTTCGTTCTTGACTTAAAATTTCCTTTTATACAATAAACAATGGGTGTTTGGGACCGTACTAAGCTCCTTATCAAATGAAATTTCATTCCGTCTAATCGAATTTAATTTTCTTTTTTTTTTCATTTCGGCAGCATATCCAAAATTATCTCCAACGCCGTAAAATTTCGTAAACGTTCGTGTTCGATGTTACCACCCCACCCCCCAAAATAAACAGTGTATGCAAAAATTAGAAACCGTTTATCAGTATTTGTAAGGTGCGAGTGAATTATAGTGGTGAACCGGACAGCAAATTGTGTTTTCTTCGGCTAAACCATAAATTGTTTTTTTTTGGCGGAATAAGCTCGCGATATTGCGTTTTTTGCTTTTGTGACCGTGCTTTGAGAGTAGAAAAACGACAACACATTTAGTGTGAATCAACAATGAACACTGGAGGGGCTTATGGTGGCGGAAAGGCTGGAGCATCGTTTGATTTGATTACGTTTGTCCAGCGACCACAAGTTATCCTTCGAGGATGTTGCTGGGTAAGTGTGTCATCATTGATATGACCGATTGCTACAATCCGATTTTCCATCATTGTGTTTGTCAAACGGAAACAGTAGCAGCAGCAACAACAAAACGAATCACCACTGAAGCGAAGAGAGAAAGAGAGAGAGAGAGAGAGAGAGAGAGAGAGAGAGAGAGAGAGAGAGAGAGAGAGAGAGAGAGAGAGAGAGAGAAATCGATAAGGACGAAGAGAAAAAGCGGAATTCGAGCAGTCATTAAAAAATATCGATAATTTGGAAGAGAAGCAACACAAAAAGAATGAACAGAAAGTCTCGTGACACAGTGTGTATGTACCTTTGACACGTAGAAGGAAAGCAAAAAACGAACAAAAAATGAACTGAACATAAAACGGGTTGAGAATGAGAACGGGAAAGGAAAGTACGCATAAAATGCTAACATGGAATACGATGGCGATGTGTGATGAGCGCAAAAGAAGTTCCATTCATCGATTTTTCGGCATGTAATCGGACGAATCGTTTTCATTTTGAGTATGTATGAGACGAAAAAGAAGGTGGATGGTGGGGATGGTGGACGAGCAAACGAGCGAGTAAGCGAGTGAACGTGCGATGTTTGTGTATGTGTGCTAAAAAGTTGGATAAAGGACATGGTTTTTCTTCAATGATGAGCGTATGAGGAGTGTGTTTGCCGAGAGAATACACACAAAAGCCATGTTTCGATTATGGTTACGCTCTCTCAGTTTTGTACAAATGCATTGACCTGTTCTCAAGTATTGGTTCGCCTTCGTTGCTGTTATGAAATCGTGCGCTCTCGATATTATTCTCTCCAATTACACACACACTCACACACACACACTCAATCACCCTCTAGCTCTTTATCTCGCTCTCCCGTACTCCCTTCAAATTTGGCGCTCATCCACACATGCAAATCTGCATCCTTCGATATCACTTTCGATTTGCATTCAAAACTTATCAACACAATTGTGAAAATGCCAATGGAAACAACGATTTCGATTTAAATCTGAAGTATCCTTCCTCTCTATGTGCTCAACATGGTACAATTAAATATCATGCTCATCGCCATCGTTGTCGTCGTCACAATGACAAGTGAATCCTTCAACACTTGTTACATAAATACGACACAAGAAAAAACGTCTCAACGAACGAGCGAACGAGAATGAGCAATTCACTGTTTGGAAAATGTGCTATTTTTGGTCGACTCTTGATTTTGCTGGCTCATGCCCAATTAGGGCTAAGGCAAAAACTCATTTTGTTAACCCGTTTCTCGTAAATGAACAATTTACACCGTCTCTCTTCTTTATTCACACCCGATATATCCTGAGAATTGGCTAAGTTTTAATCACTTTTAATTTGAAACAATAAACGCTTTTATTTACGATGCTGAAGCGGTCGATATGTTTGACTTAACTTCAATGCCGTGGTTGAGCAGCGAAATTTTCTTCGACTGAAACCATAAAATGTCTTGATTAAAAATCGCATTTCTTCATAATGTGTCATGCGAGTCTCACGAGTCAATACCAAAAATGTGGGCAACTGTACGAGTCTTTCATATGAATTTTCGAGTCAATGTTTCATCGAAAAACAAATCGACGAATTATGAATACGCTGTACTTTCTGTGGTAGGACTCGAGAGTCAATTTGTATGGATTTGTGCGACTCAGTACTGACTGGCGATAACAAATAGGCCCCTCGAAGCTCGTGAATTTGTAATGAAAGACGATAAACTGCACTTCCTCAACATGTGAATTATAGATTTACATTTTCGATATCTTATTAATATGTTAATAACCAAAATATCGGAAAATTTCTAATAACTCAAACATAACATATTATTAGATTAATAAGATTCTACGATATTATTAACATATTATCTAATTATTAATAAGATCGCCATTTTATTAAAAAGTTAATAAGATCCATCTTATTATTAATAAGATAATCTTATTAAAATATTAATAAGAAAATCGGATTTTATTAACCAATTTTCAAAAAAAAATGCGAAGGAAAGTTTCATACTAAAAACATATCAAATATCGTCAAACGACGAAATATTGAAGAAAAATGCATCTGACGATATTTGATATGTTTTTAGTATGAAACTTTCCTTCGCATTTTTTTTTTGAAAATTGGTTAATAAAATCCGATTTTCTTATTAATATTTTAATAAGATTATCTTATCAATAATAAGATGGATCTTATTAACTTTTTAATAAAATGGCGATCTCATTAATAATAAGATAATATGTTAATAATATCGTAGAATCTAATTAATCTAATAATATGTTATGTTTGAGTTATTAACGCCCCGTTAATAATATGTTAATAATTAATAACATTAGTATGTTAATGCCTGTAAATCTATAATGTGAATACATTTTGTATGAATTTGACTATGATGATGAAATAAATTTTAGATGAAACCTACATACATGCATATCCGGGCAAAGCCCAAATTTGTGAATATTTTAGATGGTTAAAAATACACACCAGCTCTATCTGTAGCATTCGCGAGTTTTATATATAGAAAATATGGTCCCAAGAGATACAAAAAGAGAGAGAGAGAGAGAGAGAGAGAGAGTGGGATGGATTTCATGTAAAACAGTGACGATGGATTGAATGATCGATGCCACACCTAAAACATACCGTTCAATTATTCTGCTTGTCATTTCGATCGAAAATTGTCGATATATCCGATCATGTCATTGATTTCATCATCGTTTTCCACTGTTGACCGTTCATGCGACAATTCAGTTTAATTTTTGAATGGGACATGTAAGTGACTAACTTGATTACATTGATTGAACTCTTGACAATTTGATTGTGAATGCATACACACACGCTACGAAATACGAAATACACATAATTTTATGGGCACACAATACTTCCATAAACACGTAGTAGATTCAATGAAAAAAGGGCCGAATGAAGCGCAATAATGCTGGCTGGACTGAATTTATTGAATGGATCAGCCGTTATTGCGGTAAATGCGATCGTATCAAATGACTTGCTCGAAACTAATGTCCCCTTCTCTATCTTTCTTTCTTGCTTTCTTTTGAGAATGAAAACCACCTTCGTTTCAAATGAATGTGCCGCAATGTGATAGCTGTGCGAAGCGCTCGCTTGGCCGTGTCTCATTCAACAAGTTTTACCGACAAACAATTTGTGCTTGGCATTCGGTTTATTGTTTTCAATACATAGTTTCTTGTTGTGTTTCTCCGTATTTTTGTCTAGTTGTTCTCGATAATTGTGTTCGGTTGCATATCGTCACAAGGCTGGCGCGTTGACCCAACCACAAAGAAAGATATCTGCTTGTATAACAACAATCCAACCGCATGCAATTATGGCGTAACGATTGGTGTGATTGGCTTCTTAGCATCCATGGGTTTCATTGCTGGCGAATACTTTTTCGAGCAAATGTCCTCCGTTAAAACAAGGAAACACTATGTATTGGGTGACTTAGGATTTTCAGGTATGCATTAACATTGTTCGTCTTTTTCTCTTCATTCAATTATCTTTAGTTCATTTTTCATTCCATTCAGTTTGCTTTCATTTTTCGATAGAAAAATCGCTTCTGTTTGATATTATCACATGGTCTGTTGAACATCGAGTTTATACCATTCTTTCTGTATTTTTCAGTTGTTTGAATCTCTTCTTTTATTCCACTTAATCAATTTCTTAATAATTCAATCGTAATTTCAGCTCAACATGAACAGTCCTTTTTATTTTATTTCAAATGAAACAAACTGGAAACAAAAACATAAGAATACTTGAATCTTATTTGTTCACAAAAAAACTGGTTTCAAACCTATCGTGAATCATGAATAAATTTTTTAATTCGACTTAAATTATCAGTTTTTTCATAAAAATATTTTTAACCAATAAAACACTGAGCGAAATAAGGTTGTCAGGATCACAAACATGAAGTTGTAAACGAGAAAATTTCATACGGGGTTTTGCGAAATGTCCAACCCTGGTTGGAATTCGCTCGTTTACAACTTCTTGTTGGTGATTTTTAAAACCTTATTTCTCTCTTTGAATGCTCGATGTAAAAGTGCATTTCTTGAACTGATCAATTGCAATTTTTTCTCACGGAAAATCAAAGGATTGTGGGCATTTTTATGTCTAATTGGTTTTAAGTATCTATGGGGCGAATGGTCAAATGCAGAAGCCCCACCACAAGGCTACGGTGAGGGCAACGTTAAAGCTACAATCTTTTTCCTCTTCTTATTAATAGGAGCATGGGTAATTATAATGGTTTTTCTTTGATTCATTCATATTTTAAGGGGACATTTTGTTTTCTTGAAATTTTACTTTCATGATGAATTCATCTATTTTCATGAGACCTTTTTTTTAATAAATAACTTTCCATTTGAGACTAGTAGTCTTTGACTACCATTCCAAACTACGACTGCTAGTGTCCTGCTAGTGTCCTGCTAGTGTCAAGTCACATAATACTAAACGCATCTATTCTTAATAGGAAAACAATGAAGAATAAATGGGTGCGTTTAATATTATGCAGCATTTACGTGCATTTACGTTCGACACTAGCAGTCGTTGATTCCTAAAAAAACTAATACTTTTTAGCAACTCCTTTTTTTCAATAAAGAGAAAGAGGGGTCTCTCATCATCCTCATATTTCTTGTTTTAATTTCTAAATTTTTAACCAAGACCAAACTTTAGCCTTAATTAAAAAGATCAGAATTTAAAAGTTATTGGCTACGCTCGATTTCAATCAAAACTTGCTCCAAACTTGGTTATACCTCCATCTAAAACTTTCCATCTATTTTCCAATAAGTTTCTACATAACTTTTAACTCTAAAATTCCCCATTCTCAAAACACGTTGCAATTTCTTTCACCGTCACAGAGTGGATGTGCATATTTTGCCTATAAACGATTCCAGCAAGGAGCTGATGTGGCATTTGCATCAACGTATGATGCATCTGATCCAACTGCCAACCAATATTCGAGCTATCCTATTGGAAATGAGACCGATCAGTACAATGAGCCACCATTTTCGAATGCTGGCCAACAACATCAAAGAGGTATTTGAATTAAATTGACAAAATTTTCAACCGAAAATACATTTTGAATAACTAAAAACAAAATGTCAAATTTTTTTTCTTTCGCATTGAATAATTAATTATAGGCGGCAACGAATATCAAGCTCCCACCTATTAATCACCATCAGCTTAAAAACTTTTTTTTGATAAAACCAACAACCATTTTGAATGGATAAACCATTTAATTTATTAAATCCAACACTTGAGAAAAGTACGCAGCATAAAAAAGATAAGGAGAGCAAACACAAAATTATATCTCAATTGTGCTGGAGAAGAAAAAAAGAAGAAGAAGAAGAAGAATTGGTGGCCAAATGAAACGGGTAAGGAAAAGAAAGAGAAGTTTGAAGCAACGTTATAGTGACAATAGCGTATTTTTAAGAGTGAACAAAATTTAACAAACAAATTATAACTACAGACAACAATTCAGCAATGAAATTGATGAACATACATATAGCGCAAGTCAAAAGAACATCACACACAGAACAAAACAAAACAAAACCAAACAAATTATTTTCAGAATTACTAAAAGCAAATAATTAAAAGCAACAACAAGAACACACACAAAACAAACAAACAAATGAAGGTTTGTGGTAGATTATTTAAGGAATGTATTGATTAAGTAACTTCCACTGTTGTGTCATTGCAGCACAATAATATACAACTCAGAAAAATCAAATGATTTACAGAGCGACAGTTTTTTGTTTCGTTTTTGATACACACTGGGTCAGTTTCATTGAATTGGCGATGATACAGAATTTGGGAAGTTTCAAAATGGAACTGAACACACTCAACAATTTTGATTCTTTTTGTTTTTGGCTTTCCGTTTTCCGTTTTCTCCTGTTGATGTCGCACAATGTTTATTTTTGTTTTGGAGCGTCACATACACACTCTCAAGTCGAGCCCCTCAATTTGTTTGAAGCCCAAACAGTTGAGTCTATCAAAAAGACTTGTAAAAATTTGCGCGCAATTTGATTGCAACAACGGTCATGTGATCATCGAAACCCACACCGATCGACTTTTCGACATCCAAAAAGTGATTCAATGCACTGCAGGATATTATTTTTAATACAAACAATAGACTAAGAGCCAGTGATAGTAGACTATCACCTCATAAAATTC